GAGGATTAGACGACTATCATCTTCGAAATAAGCATGGTAGCATGCAGACAGATATGGTGCTGGAGAAGGAGCTGAGAGTTGCATCTTGATTCACATGCAACAGGAAATGAACTGTGACATACTTCCTCCACCAATGCCACCAAGGCTACACCTCCTAGTAGTGCCACTCCCTTATGAGCCAATCACAGTCAAACTACCACAATGACCAAAACAAGTTGGAAAGCAAGGGGTTTATTTGGCTTATATTTCCCCATGACTGTTTATCACTGAAAGGAAGCAGGACAGGAACATAAACAGGACAGGAACCTGCTTACTGGCTTGCTCCTGATGGCTTGCTCAGCCAGCTTTCTCATCACCAGCATCACCAGCCCAGTGAGGGCACCATCCCAAAAGAGCTGTCCCCTCCTTCATCAACCACTAATTACGAAAATGGCCTACAGCTGAATCTTATAGAGAGGCATTTGCTCAATCCAGGCTCCCACCTTTCAGATAACTCTAGCTGTGTCAGGGTGACATAAAACTAGCCACACAGGAGGCTCCTTCAATGAGAATACTGTATGATGGTAGTGTTAAGTTAATGGTCAGGGTTGACATATAGTAAGATTCAGCAGGAACATGGCTCTCCCCTTAGTGCTCTTTAATGGGATTTCTGCCCAACCTTCAGCAGGAACATGGCTCTCCCCTTAGTGCTCTTTAATGGGATTTCTGCATCAGTCTATGATCCAGGGTGTGAGTTCTGCCCTCATTTTCTGAATTCTTAAAATCTACACCCACCTCGCTCTCCTTTGAGTTTTTTTCTTTAAATCTCTGTCTTGGAAATAGGGTGCAGAAGATGATGGTACTGATTTATTTATTAATGTCCCTTGTAGGACTGCAGGAGCTACCTGCTTGACCCTGCTCAAGCAAGAAAATGTTGCCGTTACTTCCTCTTGGCATACTGACAACATGATGCAAGAGCAGTAACTTATTCATCTTGTGCTTCAGTTCTGTCACCTACAAAATGAGATTAATAATAGCACCTACATTGTAGATCCTGGGTTAAAATTAAATGAGAGGAAGATCTTAGGACAGAGTAAACACTCAGTAAACATTCTCATTCACTGATTACCAGCATCAGTCTGTTCCATGAGCACATAATCTAGGAAGAATGACTAAACAAATGAAACTCCCCAAAATAATCATAATAGCTTTTATTTAATCATCTTAATGCCCCAATATTGGGTTACATACCTACGATGAGCCAGAAACAAGAAGGCATATTAAAGATGCAAATTAAATAATGGTGTAGGATCCAATTTGTAAGAGTCTCAAAACAGTCAATATTGTAAATATAAACTAGAATATTTAAAAATCTATTGTGTACAATAGCCAAGACTCAGAGATGATCCGTAGATGCCGATTACAGGAATTCCTCAAAATGATGGTAAATTCTGTTGGAAGCCTATGAAGAATCAACTGAAGACAGAACACAGTGACCTCCCAAGGGCACATCCCAAAGAAATAACAGACTACAGGTGCCGAGAGAGAATTTGGGGACCTACTGGAGACCTAGGTTCTTTAGTGTATGCATAGAGAAAATGCAAGGAATCAAAAGCCAAGGCAAAGAACACAAGAGACAAAATGCTTCAGAGATGGGATATATGATCATAGTGGGGATAAAAAAATTACTTTGCTTTTAATGATTGTATAGATAATCTGTGACTATGAATATTTAAATTACACTAAAATGGAACCAAATAGACTAATAATGTACTCTAAAACTGTGACATAACTCTATAGAGAACATGGGAAGATGAGTTTAGGGACTGGATAAAATAAACATAAATATGAAAATAAATACAATTCTTTTGCCCAAATGAGTTTCTATGAAAGGGTATGCAAAGTTAGTGTGTTGTCAGGTTTTCAGTACCAAAGAGGTTACATCTCAGAACTTCACATTGCATATAAAACAAGAGGAGACATACTCAGAATTTCGTCCTAGAGAGTAAAATGTAAAGATTGCTGGACTGAGAAAGGAATAGCTAGCATTTGGAAAACTAGGTATACTGTTCATAAAGAACAATAATAGGGTTTGAAATGAGCTTCATGTCCATCTTCATCAAAAAAGAAAGGGAGGGGCTAGAGAGGTGGCTCAGTGCTTAAGAATAGAAGCTGATTTTTCAGAGGACCAGAGTCTAGTTCTCAACACGATGTCGGGCTGTCAAGGCCCGTGGTACTCTAGCTCCAAGGGGTCTGATGCCCTCTTCTGGTCTCTGTGGGTACCCGCACTTACACACACACACACACACACACACACACACACACACACATCAAACTTAAAAAAAGAAGTATAAAAAGAGAAGACATGGCTTGAGAAATCTTTGAAGGTAAAATCAAGAGTTGAAGGATCAGATGTGAAAAGTAAAAGAGGAATCTGAGTTACCATAGGCAGCCTAACCGAGAGCAAATTTAAAGAATGAAATGGTTTTACACACAAGGAGACCTGGACTACGTCAAGTGAGAATGGTTCACTGCATAAAGGTTTTAAAATACACAGGAAGTCTTAAGGCACTGTTAAAGATCTTTCCATGAACTTTATAGAAGAGGATAATGCATGGGAAAATACTTACTGAATAGTTTAAAGAATGTCTGCCTTAACAAGTAACCATTAATTAATCCAATTACTATTTGTTATCTGTTACTAGTGGGCTCTAAAAATTCCTTTATAAAATTTACATCAATATCCTTTTATAATTGCAAGAAAATTAAACTTCTTCAAGATTTTGGTGCTTGTAGAAAAAAGAGAGTCATCCCTAGATGATACTATTTCATAGTTGTGTGATTTTCACTTAGGAATATTTAAGGGAAGCACATTATTTCAAATGAAAGGAGACAAAAAATGTCAGAAAGTACAGCTGCTGAAAGAAAACAGTAGACATGGATGGCTGCGTCATCATAGTGCCACAAACTGAGCCATACTTTGCAAAGCCACACAGTGCCTTCAAGTATTGGAGTGTCCATTTACACCAGCAAACCAACCAGAAAGATAAAGTGAACTATTGTTATATACCAATAGTAATTTTTGATAAGATTCAGGTTGAGGCCATTTGGAAGGGCATCACACCTTCACTGTTGACCCCAGATGACCTGTCATTTGGATCAGCACATTGACACATTGGCTTCTATAATCTCTCCGTGGGGCTCCATGTGCCTTACTGTCAGGACCCAGACCACACAATATACCAGGAAGCTTCAGCTGGTATACATTATAGATCAGAGAGTAAACACTGTGTATTGGCTTCTCCAGGGATGGACTGGACTTATTTGGAAAATTATGAGACCATCACACAAGGTTCAAATGAGAACATTAGTTCTTATGTTTGGAGATACATGGAAATATAACTTTTAAATCACAAAACATTGTGTTAATGTAGCTTTGAAATTTCTTTCTGTTGTTTGTTTCTTTTCCTTCTCTTTATTACTTTTTTTATCCTCTATCTCCTTTAGATAAAAGCACTTATTTAAACAGTGATTCTTTTATCACAACAGATACAATTTTTATTATTTTATTATTTTTATTTTAGAAGCACTCTTAGTTACATATCAATCCCCCCATTTGCTCCCCACCCACCTCTGCCCACTCCCCATGGGGGACCACCAAAGTCCATCATTATTTGGGGGAGGGCCTAGGCCCTCTTTCTTGCATCTAGGCTGCAATAGTATCCCTCCATAGGGAATGGGCTCCCAAAGTCCATAAACACTGGCTCCATTGTTAGAGGTCCCATTGACTGCCCTGGCCTCCTAGCTGACCCCCACATTCAGAAGGCTTGGATCGGTACAATGCTGGTTCCCCAGCTTTATGACTAGGGTCTCTGTCCTCTCACTAGGTCAGGTCAACTGTAGATACATTCTCTATGTATGGCTTAGAATTTATGGTAACAAAGTGTTACTCTAAAATGACTTTAAAATAATCTTAAACACTCAGCACTGAAAAAGTAACATATTTACATTTGAAATGAAAATGAGACCATTAGAACTTCTGCATTTATGGTAAATCTTAATGTTTTTAAAAACTATGCAAACCCTTCTGTAACACTTGCTACAGTCCTCATTGCTTCTTTTAAGAAAACTAAAATGGTAAACGATTTTTATCTGATGAATATGTTTCTTGCTTTTCTTTTATGTGCCAGTGTACTTACAAATCATTTTAGAGAATGAACTTTCGTGTGGCCTTTTGAACAGTGGACATGTTTTCCAGTGTGTAACCATAGGAAACAGATTTTTTTTTTTAAAAAAAGACTCAGTTTAGAATTTTAGAACTCCCTTGGGGTATAATTGCCACCCCTGAGCAATGTCACTGGGTTATGGATCATATACCACAAGGCAGATGCCATTCCCAGGTGCTGTGCAGTACAAATCATTTATCACACACTCTTGGACAATCCTAATAGGGACATGGGAAATCAGCGCCAGTTAAAACTTAATGGCCCTGAGCATTTGACAATTAATATTTTTGGAGCATCAAAGGGATAGAGATCCATTCATGTTATGTTAATTGCTCTAACAGAGAAATGCTACCTGACATGTGTTTTCTAAATGAACTTTATTTAGAAGGAGCTGTTGTAAACATGCCATGGCCTAAATTTATTATGATTGGCATAGTATGGTTCTGACATGCAAAACTGCTTCAAACAGCACTAACAAGTACTAGTCCTTGTTCTTTTTTATATATCATCCTGATTAATTAGAGGAAGGTGAGGATTGAAGTGCTATTGCTTGTGAAAGCAATTTATTCAAATGGGAAGCTATGGGCTACAAAAATGGAATGTGCACAGTGGACAGTTTGTATGTGGTACTCCACATACAAAGGCCAATGGTGTGGCTTCTTACTAAGGTACACTCATAACATGGATGCAAATAAATATCAGAGGTAGATGGACATCAGCATTTATTTGTTGTGAGTCACTCAAGAGTTAAAATGCCATTTCTGGACTTGACTCTTGGTTCTATTTTAGAAGGAAGAGAGAGACCGCATGCTGAAGAACACTTCTGAATCCCTCCTGTTACCCACAGTCCTGCTGCCCTTCTTGAGAAGCCTTGCTAGAACTCTGTCGAAGTGGATCACAATCCCAGTGTCTCAGCGGAACAGGATGAAGTACATATGTGTATGTTTTTATCCTTTCATGGCAGATATGATTCTCAGAAGGGCTACCGAATGCTGCTATGCAGAATTAACTTGCAGTTGCTGCTAGGTCTTCCTTCCTCCCCTACCTCCCTGGAGGAGTAACTACCACACTGTCTTCCTCAGCTGCAGTACTGTTTGCATTCTTCCCAATAGACCTGCCTCCAGCAGCCCAGGGTTTGATGGGGAGCCAGTGGACTCTGGGGACTAATCACTCAACTCGACTTTTCTGTCTGAGGGAGTAAAACTTAATTCTCTGGGGACAGCAAGGCAGGCAAAACTTAACTCTCTGGGGCTGGAAATAAAGGGAAACACACACACACACACACACACACACACACACACACACACCACAAACAACAATAAAATAACAATGACACTCATTGGCCATCATTCTCAATTGTCAATGGGCTCAATTACTCAATAAAAATACATGAACTAACAGAATGGATTTGAAAACAGGATCTATCTTTCAGCAGCATACAAGAAACAAATCTCAACATCACAGACATTACCTCCAACTAAAAGATGGAAAAACATTTT